GGACAGGACACCTGCAGAGCCTCTATCTGGGGACGGGACACCTGTGGGACTTCTGTATAGGGACATTACTCCAAGATATTACCTTCAACACTACTCTACCTTCAGATCCCGGCATTCTTGTTTTTGAATCATTCCAAACACGGGTAATAAAACACCACATAAAGCAGGAGGTAAGTCCACAGCCTCATAGCATCAAACAAACATATTGGGACGTATTGTCTGCAATAATTATTTACTTGTCCATAACTGTTGTAGGGAATAAAAAAGTCAGCATAGATGTCATTACTGTTGTTCAAAAGAATGTTTTTCTGTCCCAAATGACTGTCCCATATCAGACATACGTGTCAAAAGCGAGCCAAGGAATCTCTAGTGCTGTGCCCCCAGTTAGCTCTCATGTCTTCACTGTACTGGGGAGATGTTGCCATAGAAACAGGTGCATTCTGTTAGTACTGTGAGAGGTTATTAATATCTGGCACACGGTCTGCTGTAGTTAAAGTGCGGGTCACCATAACTGACCTCTCTCTCTTAGTATTCATTTTTCAAAGATATTTTAATGTCATTAGAGAAAAGGAGTATTGAGGGTGAACCCCCGCTCCCTCCATATTTAGTTTCAACAATATTTTCGGTTTTATATCACACAAAACAGTCCAACTGTGACAGAGATGGTGAGGGTGAGAATAGGGATTTTAGCAGGGAGTCTGGTGACCTGGTGTCTCCATAGTAACGTCCTCTGGGTGTGGAGGGCTGGGTCGGGTTTGGCTGCCCCAGCCGACGTCCCAGTAAGGCGATGTAGCATGCATGGTAGGGGGTGTCTGTGAGTCCACGAAGAGTCCCCCGCATTTCTGCCCAATTGCCACCAGAGGGCACTGCACCCTCATTCTGGTTCACAGACCCTGGCCAGAGAGATCTCCCGTGGAGTCGCTGCCACTGGAACCCGACTGAGCACGCTTGATGTACAGGTTCAACAGCTTTAACTGGAGTGAGAGGAGAGAGAGAAAGAAGGAGAGATTTAGCATTCGCTCAGTATCGCCACTAGAGGGAGCCAACTCCTAACTAAATGCAATCTCTTCTGGACTTGGTGAGGCTTGAAGAAGCAGGATAATGGGTGGGTATTCACCTTGCTCCCAGTCAGCTGACTGAGGTGCGGCTTCAGCTCATCCCCAATGACGGCGTAGATGGCGACCAGGCAGAAGACGCAGGCCTTGCGCACACTGCTCTCGGGGTTGTCGTAGCCCTGCAGCACACAGACCCCCTCAGGCACAAGCTAACATGCTGCACCGCATGATATTTACGCTCACGTACATAAACATAAATGCAGGCTAACACTGCTGAAACCATTCATTTAGAAGTACATACTAACATAGACTGAGGCATTATCTAAGCTCACACATTAATACGTATGCACACACACACACACACACACACACACTAATACGCACATAACACGTAGCACCACACATAAATCACAAACACTCGCTGCTGCACAAATGCTAATACTGTTCACGGTAAACCCACATGCTAACATACCTGTATGAGTCCTGGAACTACCTCTGGCAGGAGCTGCTGCAGGCTGTCCTTGGAGAGACGGTCAATAACCTTGGTCTGCATCTTGATGGCGGCGAGGTTAATGGGGTAATCAGCCGTCTGGATGATGGGACACAACACCTTGATACACTGCTCCGGGCCAATGGAGTTGGCCAACATGGCTGCCGTATCCTCAGCTGCTCGCACCACCTATATGGACAGACAGGGGGAGCAAGAGAGCATGAAGACATATCGACTTCAGATCGCAGAACGTTCTGGATAAAACTGGCCTGACTCCCTTAAAGAAGGCTTAGGGAGGAATGACTGAATACGTCCTCATTGTGTCTGGATGTCAGGGACACCATGGGACTATATAAAAGTGGCCTACTCTGAGTGACCCTACACCAGAAATCATCACAGCGTTGCACTGACCTCTTTGTGTGGGTCCTTGTGGGCCTCCAGTGCCTTCATGATGGTTAGCTCGGCATAGTTCTTGAAGCGTGAGGGCTGCTGGTTAAGGATCTCCTTCAGAACCCTGAGGGCCAGGGTCCGGATCACGTGCTAAGGAAGAGGATTGTGGCACATGAGTTACGCTCAGCTAGGCTTTGGGTAGGAAACAGCAGCAAATTAAATGGGATGAACATTTTCGGACTAATGTTTAACACTTTGATATAATTAGAATCACTTTCTGTTGATGTATTGAATCAGAAACTCTATTAAAGATATTGCATGGGAGTCTAGAATCACCTGACCTACCATCCAGAGAATCAGTCTCTGGACAGAGGTACATCTGGAGCTGGATATGGTGTCATGTTTTGGCAGGGCTAGGATTTCTTTACAGGGCTGAAGAGTGATGCTTTCCGGGTCAGTGTGGAGTAAAGATCAGTCAGTGGGGCGGTTTCGGCTGGGGGCCGGGATCTGAGCATGTTCCTACGGCCAGTGAATGTGCCACTGCAGAGCTGAGCCAGCTTCCCACCTCTTGGTCACCAAGCGTCTCCAAAAGCAGCAGCAGGATGGTCTTGAAGTGCTCGTCCCACACCAGCAGCTGCCCGTCACGCACCAGCCTCAGCAGCTCGCCCAATGCCGCCTTGCGCTCCTCCACACGCTCGTTGTGATTGGACAGCTCCTTCAGCAGCTCTGCTACCAACTCCGACTGGTTACCCTCTGTGTATGTGTGAAACACACACAACATGAAGTCTGGACTCACTTACTGAAAATTATTTGTCTTTCAACAACATAACAACTACAAGCACACCTCAAGTTTATACAGTAAAAATGATCTTGTGACCAAGCAAAGAGATGGAGTGCTGCAACAGATGGCCTGGCCCACACAATTCCCTGACCTAAACCCTATAGAGCTGGTTTGGGATGACTTAAGGCTGAATTTTACTTTTGCGTTGAGCCTACGGCATGACCTACGTAAGTGGCCTACGTCGTTACGAGCATTTCTGCTTGTGTGCTGGTGTGTCTGTGTAGCCCAGCAATTACATCTCCAAAACGCTACATGATACATAGTTTTGGATATCGGTTAGTGTCTATACTACTTTTTACTTTTCTTAGTGTTGTAAACCATGAATAAACTTAATGGAGGCATGTAAAATTGGCGATGTCATCCTGAGTGTTTTGTAGACCTGTTTCTACGACACCTGGGATGGGTTACTTAATGCTAGATATAAATGGTGCTTCTGTTTCAATCAGCGATATCAATCAGCTTTCTTCGCGCCCATAAATTGACGAATGCTACCAAGCGGACCAATCAGAGTTCTTGCAGTCTGTGTCACCGCGACGTGTAGTTACATTTCTGGGGAGGTGCGCGTCAGGCTATGGCGTAAGGTCCACAGCTATGCTAAACTCATGGTGTCGATTCCATCCGGAAGTATAAATCAGCCTTTAGAGTAAGGCAGCCAAATTGTGCTCAGAATGTGTTAAACTTCAGGGCTGTTGGAGAAGCATTCCTGGTGGCTACATCTGGAAGCTGGCTGAAAGAATGGCAAGAGTCTGCAGTGCTGGCTGTCACTGAAGCAAAAGGGGGTTATTTTGAGAAGTCTAAAATTAAAAAGAAATGTTCTCCTGGTTGTTGCAATATTTGAAATGTATTGCGTCATCTCCTTGAAGTGAGTTACATAGACGAATGCATTAAAAGCTGGTGCGTCCAGACTTTTGACTGGTATGTGCACAGAATAGCATGCAAGTGTGTCAGCATACGTGCACACCTTCAGGGAGGCGCTCTGATTCGTCGTCGGGGGTGTCTTCGCTGTGGGACGGGTGGTCCACCCCCATGGACCCTGTGTCCGGGTCATCACCGGCCCCCTGTAGGAGAGGCACAGAAGCAATCAGTGTCTGAAACACACCCATCCTTACACGGGCTGGTCAATAAAACACAATAAAACGTAATTAACATTAAAGAAAAATGAACTATTAATGATATTCTGTTTCAGAACAATCCTCAGGCAAAATGTTGACATAAAAATACTTTAAAATGCATTTGGACTTAGCAAAAATGAGCAAGATATTTTTGGTGTTATAGAAGGCCGATGAATTATTTATGAATCAATGCTTGGATTACTATTCAGTGAAGCCGAGTGGTGTCCGCACATGAAACCTCGATGGTTGGAGCCCCTTCCCCATCGTCCCCTGACACCCACCGACTCGCCGTCCCTCTTGCCGTCCCTCGGCTCGCTCATGTCCTCCTGGCTCCGCACGCTGAAGTTCCGAATGGCCTCGCTCACGCCCCGCAGGGAACTGTACACGTCCTCAGAGTTGGTGCCTTCCGCCTCGTAGTCAAATACACTGTGGGGGGGGAAGGGGTCACACACACTTACACTTGCCCCCCCGTCCAGCCGTGCTTATGCAGCAGAAACCCAAGAAACACCTCCTGCTGAACACACAATCTCTGCCATCTTCGACACAGGATACTCTTAGGTAGCTCTAGTGATCTTTCATCTTCAAGCAAAACTGAGCATCTGTGGCAGGAATTAGAGTGAATAAAACACTTTGTGTGGTATGTTCTGGACTTCTGCCCACCTGCACACTGACCGGTGTGTTACACTCACCTGGGCGAGGGTGTGTTCTGCGCCGTGCCGGTGGGCGAGGTCAGGGGGCTGCTCCAGTTGGCAGGGGAGCGCGGTGTGTGGCGTGCCAGGGGACTACCTGTGGGCGTCTGCTGGGGAAAGAGCACATCACCACCCCCCAAAGATGCATGCGGTGAACAACCGTCCACAGAGAGAATAGAATTGGATGGTGGTGCACATGACTTGTGAACTAAATGGCGAAAGTGCAAAAAAGGTGGCTTATTCCACAAAGGAAGAGAATGGAATGGAAAACTTTGTCTGGAGATCAGATTGAATCTTTAATGATACACCTCTGATAGATTTAATCTCCCACGGAGATTAATCTATTTAATCTCAACAGCTAAACCAGGGATCCCATTTACAAAACTTTGCGTAAACTTCAGCGCACATATAAAGTAAAAAAAGAGTAAAGAAGTAAAATTCCTTTGGTGGTCCCTTCTAATCCTTCTGTTTAAGGAGTTACTAGCAAGAACGCCATTATGCAGCATTACATCCTCATGAGTACAGGCTGTTTATATATGTGTATCCATGCATGTGAATGTTTGACGCCTATTTCACATTTAGTGCAAATAGTGACAATGACCAATATTTTCATTTTTTGATAAACGTACCTAAAGGTACCCCTCAAGTTTAAATCTTAAGGAAGATTATGTTACAGCTAAAGTAGGTCTTGACCTGGATTTAAACCTGTGTAGAGGTCAGACCAGGTGTCCCAAGGTAAAGCTCAAATTAGCAGGAAGCTAATGTAGGTCCAACATGAGTACCAGCAGGTCAAACCTGAGAGTTGCTGCCGCTGTTGCGAAGGTGGTTCTGCAGAAGCTTAGTTGCACCATCTTGGAACGTTTTGGGCAAAGCCCCAAGAAGCATAGTGAACTCTGGGGTGTTGAGTTGGAATAGGGAGATCAGCACTGACTGGGCGGCCTGCAACCAATCAGAACCACGGCAGTCGTTGGTAACAGCCAACCAGAGTGACATAACAGCTAGAGTTGTTCTAACAAGATACGCTGCAGGGTGTTTAGAAGTTACTCCATGTTAGATCTCATGGTCCAAATGGAATCAGAAGCAATGGAAATCATGAGGAGCCTCACCTTCCGGACGTCAACGCTCTTGGGCTCAGTGGTCCATGTAATGATGCGTGACACAGCCAGGCGTGTCTCACTGGAGTTGACAAAGTCACCAGGGTCCATCTGCATACCCAGCGACTCGATATACCGAAGTATGGCCACTTTTACCTGCAGGAAGGCAGAGACCCAGCTCGCTGTTAGCAACCACATCATACTGCCGAATAACTGCTGCTATTTAACTGCTCAGCAGGCAGTCATGTGTAGTTTATAATGACTTACACGCTCCACCTTTGACTTTTTAAAATGGCTGCATGTTTTACCGATACCCCTTTGTAAACACAACTGTTTGTTTCCATCTGTTACTCAAATTCTTATTTTCAGACAGTATTTCTTGGATGTTCTTCTGAGATGCAGTGTCTTGTTCAGGGTTACAGGATCAAGTCCAGTTCGTTAACCACTGTCCCACCCGCTGCCCTGCTGATTGTCCTAGGGCGGGATGGTCAGCTACTAATACTGTTAAGCTACAAACTACATTACCCACAACCCCCCAGGTCCCTTTCTGCTTCCATTGCAGCTTGACTGTCCTTAGGGGATAACTTGCCAATTAACACTGAAATGGCAATACACCTATAAAGCGGACTTCAGTAAAACAACAGGAGGACAGTGGCCATTATTGTTGAAGGTAACGCTCCTGGCATAGGAGTTGGTGTGGAAGGCCACCTTGACATTCTTTCAGAGCAAAATCAAAGTAAAAAATTCACCACCATAACCAACTGAACGGCCAAGCCTAACGGGATTTTGAAGGATTTAAATAACTAGGAATTCATTAAGATTAATGAAGAATATATCTTCTGCTCACATCCCAAAAAGAGACAAACATTAAACCAATGAAACAGAAAAAAAAACAGCCAGATATCTGTGTTTGTTGTCTCCATGGGTACCTGGAGGAGAGGAATAAAAGAAGTTAATGAAAGAACCCTTACAAGCAGCACCACAACAAACGCTAACCTCGTGAGGCAATGAGCTCTACTCCATCTCCACAGTGAGACTCTTACTGACTGTTACCACTGGGAAGGAGGATGAAGGGTGACACAGACAGATAGAGACAGGGAGGACTCAGGATACCAGAAGCAGGCCAAAGGCTGCTGATTAAGAAACAGAAGATTGGACAAATAAACTAATATAAAACAGAAGACAGAACAAATAAGCTATTGTAAAACAATATAAAAGAAGAGAAACAGGTGTACTTGGCAAACCAAGAAAATGTCAGCGGTTCCTTTTTGCACTATTTATGCTCAGTTTTTCTTCATTTTAAAACATAACATTAGTAATCAGTATCTCCATGACCGTCAGGGCCATTTGTTTGATGTCCTTGCCAATCCAGTTTCATTTGACGTTTTGAACCACATGGTGCAGCCTGGAGAGTTTTTATTGGAGGAGCCAATACAGCCCCTGCCAATTAAAGCAACAAACTCACAGGCACCTGATAGACTAATGAAATCATTACTACAGCCAACTGAGCCAATCGAGCTGATTTAAACTGCCTCTTGGGGAACAATAAGATATTGTCATAATTCAGATTCAGTGACCTGAGCTATGGGGCACACTCCGTGCTCTGTGACAGAACCATTTACATGTTCCCATCTCTGTTCTTTGTGGTGCCATTTTCTGTGTCATCCAGAATGGTTCTACTGTACAGCGCGTTATAGAATTGCTTCCCCCGCTGCGCCACTGACCTGAGATGCTTGGTTCCACACTTGGATTTGCTCCTGCAGTGTGCAAGCATGGCAATGGCAAGCATGACGCCTGGCGTTTCTGTGGCAGTGGGGAAGCAATTTTATACCGGCCCCTTGCCTGCGAACTGACTTCCGCACAGGCTTCGGAGAAAGAGAGAGGGAAGAGGGCGTCCATTACTGGAAAAGAGAGACATGAGATTGCACAGGGAGCGGGGGACTGAAATGACAGACCAGTCAGGACAGACAGTGTTGTGGAGGAAGGAATGAAGCACAACAGAGTGTCACAGGGGCAGATTCAAGGAACATCTATGCACCGGAGACAGTGGGATTAAGCAGCAGCCGGGAGATTAACGTGCTGTACCATTACGCCAACTGTAGATAAATCAGAAATGGCCGGTTTCAATATGTAGCAATCGATGGATTTAGCAACACTCAGCTTAGTCATGTTGGTGATTTAAGTTAGGTGAGACAGTTTGAGAATAAGTAATACCGCTCCTTTTGATCTTAAAAGTTCCATCGTTTACTAATGTTAACTGAAAATGGGTGGAATCCTGCCTGTAAAGTCTCCCTTAGCACGGTAAGCCTTGCAAACTGGTTTCCATCAATGGGATAACCATCAGCTGTCCTGACCTTTCTTTACTTGCAAGAAAATACAATTTCTATGAAAAAAAAATCAAAGGTATTTCTCAAATCTTATATGACCACTCTCAGTGAAAGTGTTGATAACATTGTATCAGAGTTTATTGTATTCTCATTTTATTATCCTCTTATTTTATGATGTGGAGCTCCTAATTTCCATTACAGGGGGATGGAAAAAATAATGGAAAGACTAAAGAGATTCAAAGGTAACGCACCAATCAGAGTGCATCAGGTACAAAACTGTCTGATGAAAGACGAAGCCTATTTCCTACATTTAGAGGTGTAAGGCAGAGAATGCCTTCAAAGTGCCGTGTTGGTATGGGACCCCATCTTGTGGGGGTCATTAGGTCTGCTGATTGCTCCTGTACGGTTGTATAATGACTAAGGAATATTTTGTATGAGGAGGTGTACTCTACGGTGCAAACACCCTACCCTTATTTGGGCCGTACACACAAATCCTAGGGGTTTCATGAGCACCAAGATCAAGGAAAATGCTTTCTACTGCCTCCCCAATCATCAGATCTAACTGTCTTTAAGTTCTGGAGCACAAAGAACTGTAGGCTTTGCTTCTTGAAGAACGGCCCAATGGCATACTCCAAATTTGGCCCATGACATTCATATATAGTTAGGTGCTTCCATTATTTTGTTCACCCACTGTGTCTTAGAGAAGTCCCAGTTTCATATGTCATACCAGAAGGTTCCCACTGTGGAAATTCCTTTTTTCTCTCCATGTTTGCAGTAATATAACAGCAATAGACACAGCTGATCTCTAATCGAGAAACAGAGCAGAACGCCTCAGGAAGCAGGACGGCTTCCCAGCAAGGGCACTTGCTGTACCTCCTCACGTACCTTCAGATTGGGCGTCTGGGTCTGGTCCACAGTAAACCTCATGAGGATCGCGAACTGCAAGTCATTGGGGAAGGACTCCCTGGGAGGACATGGGCCAGGAGGGACGTCATTGTTAGAAGGCCGCAAAAACAACTGGCTTGCTATGGCGGATGGCATCATGTAACATGACCATGGCTAATGGCAGTCAATCACAATGGCTGATTATCAGTCACATTAATGTTTAGAAATATGATTTTTTTTCAATATGATTTAGCTACCTTAAAGGTGTATATCAGGACTACCCTATTTTTTCCCCTAAGGTCCAAAATTCATCAAGCATACTGTACTAGCCAAGACCCACAGTTACAGTAGACGATATATTTAGGGGGGGAGAAATCACATTGTGCTTTGACCTAATCCACCATTTGCATACTCCTGGTTTATATAGTCCATGGAATAAACTAGTAGATTAATCCCCTAATCCAGAAAACTGTTATGATTGTTCTGTTGGCCAAATCTCTACAGTTGAGTCTCCAACATGACACATACTTGATGAGCCACATCCTGTAAATACTTCTTAACCACACTCTACATGAAGATATTCTTTCCTATATTCAGTGCTGCTGCCTTACCTGGTGACATCCAGCGCCCTCTGGACCTTGGCCTGAACAGAGCCTAGCAGGTCGGCACCCATCTTCTTCAGCAGCTGGGTGAGGAGGACAAAAAGCCAGTCGTGCAGCTCCTCCTTGTGGACCAGGATGAAGTCGACCAGCGTCTCCAGAAACATGCTGAAGACCTACATGGAATAAGGCAGGACACTGTGATGCCGGCTGGTGGCCAGAGGAGCACAGATACATAGACGCAGGCAAGCATCTAGAAACCTGCATCACACACTCACACTCAGGCAGGAGAAAAGGACATGAGATGAAGCCATCATTGTGCAGAGAAGCAAATTCCTCTAGGGAATTAAACCACCCCCTCCCTCCCCATTCAGCTGCACCAGCATTAGTAACCTGCACAAGTTTGCTGTTATAAAATTAGTGCAGCATGCAGGAAAAGCCCATTTAGAAAGCAAACAAAATTAGTCCAAAATTAAGATGAATTTCACAAGGTTTGGTGGAGACTGGTCACTCGCGCCAAACAGTACTGACTACCAGCCGCTCGGAGCAGTAAAATGTTCAGGTACTGTATTAGTGGACGGCCAGCCATGCCAACATCGGCCGCATTGCTGTGTTTGCTGCGGTATGATCTGAAGCCAAGCAGACTCTCATTAGTGGCAGATGCAGGCAGAAGCATGCAACAGCCTTCAGCCAGACGCTGAATGGACTTACTCTCTACAGAGAGTTCCGGAACAAGGGGGCATGCAGAGAGAAGACAAACACACCCATTAGTGTTTGACCATCAAAGCCTGTACAAACGACTTCCTGGGCTCCCTCAACCCTGACTGGGAGACGCGATACCGTAACCTCGAGTCACCCAGCTGAAGGCAATGCTCCGTTCTCTGCTCATTCAAACCTCACTCTTAAATCCCCCCTTGATCTGCTTCTAGGGCTGCTGAGCAGATAATTAGGCAGCTCAGGGTATCGTCTCTATGGGCTGGTCAGCCATTCTCCGACACATAATGCATCAATACACTGTTCTGCAATCAGTAACAAAAATAAGAAAGTGACATGACTACCCTGAACGGGGCCTCAGTATCTCACATGGACTTGAAATGTTTCATATTATATATCCAAATCACATGAACTGCAAACCTCAGCTCTTCGCAAAGTCTTGCCTCAGTCTTCTGATTGTTCCGTGCCATAATAATATCGCAGTCCAGAGGCCTTTCTTAAATCAGAACACCCAAATGAAAACAGGGCAGCACTATGGGTCACCTTCAACTAATACAACAAGATGGTCGCAGTCTCACCACATTATGGTATGTATCCGCAGTCTCCCTGAAACAGCTCCATGATCCCAGGCTCAAACCCCCCCACTGTTGCCTGTTTCTACACATCCAATTCCTGACTCTGAACCTTTTACTCTCCCAGCTCCTGTCTGAACCCCTGCCTGAAGTTCACACTGACCTTGAATATGAATTAGTGCTGTGGATTTTGTATAATCTGCTGCGCTCTTGGATTCAGCTTCTTTGTGTTGTGTTGATACAACATTTACAAAAGAGCTCAGCTGTGTGGGATCTCCTTAGACTAAGGAAAAGCTTCGAAGTCTTATTCACCAGATACACAATTATACTAAGTAGAATGTGCGGTAAAAGCAAGTAAAATCCTTGGTTTGCTGACATTATCTGGCGTAGTGTAATAGTTCAGTATAAAGCCCCAGTATAAGCATCCAGGCTTGGTGCTGGACCTGCAGTAGCACAATCAGGACCTGCAGTAGTACAATCAGTACCTGCAGTAGGTTTACACCCTGAGCTAAGTGAAGTCATATTTGTTTAGATCACATGTTTAGCCTGAATTATACTACATATATACTAAAGTTTATATGTGCTTTACTTACAACTGTCTTCTATAAGTTTATTGTTGGCTTCATTGAGCACCCTTTGGCCACCAGATGTCACTGTGATACGATGTTTTGAATTTTTCAAAAGATCGTATCTCTTACCAAATCAATTATTTCAGCCTCTCAAAAGCCCCAATTCTGCCAGCACTACTGGCAGCTCAGGCCCTGGCAGATGGATGGCTGAATACATTTGAATTACCTTGCTATGAGGGTCAGCAAACATCCTGGTGAAGATTTCACAAAGCCTCTTCAGCTCCACCCGGCTGTGGGAGGGAGAAACACACGTCATGCCTGAGCAACCAATCAGAGTTTCTTCTTTAGCCACATGGGAGATTAAACCTAGGTAGAAGCTGTGTTACAGGAGGGAAGAGTGAGATGAATAACCCAAGGCAGGAGGGTGCAGTGGTAGATTCCAAGCGAACGTGTGGATAGGTGAGAAGGGCGGGATTCTTACCTGAGGATCCTTTGGCTCTTAAGCAGGCCCTGCAGCCCCAACAAGCCCTCCTTCCGCTCCGACCAGTTGGTGCTGGCGCATCGGTTCAGCACCTCAGCCACATCTTCCGTCTGCCGCATATAGGTCAGGCTGCCGTTGCGAGAGCTGTACGAGCGCTCCGAGCAGGCGCTGGACGCGTCGCTGTTGGCGTCATCATCAGAGTACATCCCGTACGCATCGTACCGCCGCCGGACCGGCTTCTTCTGCAAGTGGCATTGGGCGAAGACGGAGCCTTTAAATACTGTCCTCAGAATGAAGCTGGGGCCGCGACGGACATAACTGGCTCACGCACAGCAGGACCCAGTGTTATAATAAGCCCACAGTAGGGGGTGACAACCAATCAATCAGCGTCACACAATTCGCTAAGCGATGACGGGTTCCCACAGTCAACAAAGAGAAACCAGTCACATGGTCCAGACCCTCTGGGCAAAGAAGTGAAAAGACAAGAGCTGTACATGTGCATGCGCCAAGCTAGACCGCGTGCTTACACAGGAGAAGAATCCAAAACATTGCTTTACCTTGCTCCTAGTGTCTCCCAAAAGCTGGCAGCATGAAGCGACCGATAAAAACAGTTAGCACAGCAGCAAGCTAATGATTTCTGGAGCTGCGTAATTCTGGATAAACATACTTTACATGACTGGACACAAGTGTAGCCAGAATAATGTGACAAGGAAAGTGTGACAGAAAGCTGGTTTTGTGTGAGACGGTGCTATGGGGAGGGGGGCAGAGTTACACACCAGAGCGTCGGCCAGCGCCTCCTCCACATCGGAGCCGGTGTTAAGGACCCTCATGCCACTGACGGACGAGGACAGCCTGCTGGACTGACCCATCCCAAAACCAGACCCTGGAAAGGAGAACCTTTTCAACGTTACTGAGCACACCGCATATACTCCACTACACAAACACACGCGGACTATCACCAGACAAACAACACGCACATTAACACAGAAGACAAAAATGCTATACGAGCCACAAACACTGAACAGACTACAAACGTATATGCAAATATAGACACAAACACAGACATATATATTAGCAAAGCTATGCTGGTGGGGTCTCTGTTTTACTCCAAGGCACCAACACAGCTAGTAATGGATGACAGGCTATAAAGCTGTAAATAGTACTGGCAGTGCTCTAGTGGACGTATACCTACAAAAGGGAGCTAATTATGCACATGCACACGTCTCACCCACGGAGAAAACTGCACACACAAGCATACACACCATTTTCTGTTGTTATTCATTAATCAGTCATTCTGTCATGCACTTCCAGAGCACATGGTGAGAGCTGATTTTTCCAGAGCACATAGTGACAGCAGATTTTTCCCAGAAAGCCATTCCTCTGTTTTTCCCAGGGGTCTCACTGAAATGAAACGGCGTCGTGCTCCTCCATCATGACAGAATCCTTGCCAGCATGCTCACAGACCCATAAGTGCATGTCTGCATTGTGCTAGAGGAATGCGGGCGAACCGGGCTGGAAATGTAAAGTAACGTGTGAAGAAGCACAGGGCGATGAGTGGCAAACCAATGAGAAGAGAGAGCTGCTCACTGAGGCGGGCTAAACAAAGAGGAACCAATGAGCTTCTGTGCTTGGACAGCAAAAAGAAAAGCAGAACGGTGATGGGTAGTGGGGTGTTGTGTGTGTTACCAAGGCGACCAGCTGGAACACAAGCTTTCATCATGGACACGCAGCAGAAATAATAACACGACTGGCTAATGATGGGTGTGACCAGTGGAGGGCGTGGCCAGTGCAGTACAGGAGCTGCTCAGCCTTCACCTGTCACCCCGAAAACGTCGGGGGCATGGAGAGTCCCCGTGGACCTGGAGTACCGGGAAGCTGGAAATAAGAACCACAGAATGTCGCGGCCGTCAGTGCCAGAGCAACTGCACCAGTGCCGGGGGACAGCAGGGTAGCGGTGGCTAATGCAGCTAAAGCTAATGCTAGGAGAAGCAGCTAAAGTAGGGGCGCAGTGCCTGATTTGGGGAGCATTAGCTAACTGAGCAGACAGTAGCTAATGAGGAGAGCTAGTAGCTAATGTTAGCAGCAGCAGCTAAGGCATAGGGAAAGAAGCTAATGCAGAGATAAAGCGGTTAATGTAGGGGACAGTAGCCAGTATTGGGGAGTAGCAGCTAATTGAGGGGACAGTAGCTCATGCAAAGAGCTATTAGCTAATGTTAGGAGCAGAAGCTAATGCATAGGGAAAGCAGCTAATGTGAGGATACAACGGCTAATGTAGGGAACAATCGCCAGTTTTGGGCAATAGCAGCTAACTGAGTGGACAGTAGCTAATTCAGAGAGCTAGTAGCTAATGTATGTCACAGCAGCTAATGTAAATAGGGGACGGCATCTAATTCTGAGGGACAGTAGCTAATGAAGAAAGACAGCAGCTACTGCAGTAGCCAATCTAAAGGGATGATAGCTAATTGTGAAAGTGACAGCTGATATTTTAGGATAATCGCTAATTTAGAAGGACGGCACTCAAACGGCTTTTTTAATCGCCGGTTTGCAGTTTACCAGGTTCAGGAAAGGCAGCAGACCGGAGGAAAGCAGAAGAGAATCACCACACCTGTCAAAGGAGACCCTCTCACTGTTTTCCCGGTGTCTCTCAGTAACGGCCTGACATTGTGACTCTTTATGTAGGGGCAAATACTCATTGCCATGGAAACCACGAGTCACCACACCAAACCCGCTCACCCTGAGGTTAACACAAAGCCATCGTTCATAGCATTGAATCAAGAGAACACCAAAACAGCCATCTAACCTGCCCCAATTTCTTTCCTTTGCCATTTCATCTGGGTGACAAAGCAGTGCACTTTTAATGAGGCTTTTTGATAATTATATACAACTACAAAATGTGTTTCCGTGTTCCGGAACCATTAGCTAACATAAATTGGCATTTAGCAATTAGCAATTGTTGTTTAGAATTATATATTTTATTTAGATTTCTCCAATCTAGGTTTTTTGAATCTTGATTTTGTTTTTTGGGTGTTAAAGATATATATTTGTTTTTAAAAATAATTTTTCTTTTAAAATTTTTAATCCTTTTATCCATCAGCAAACAGGCATGAATTTTTTTGGAAGTATAGATAAAATGATGGAATGTGTCAGTTTTAAAAGTGATTTACTGTCAAATTGTGTGTGTCTTACATGGGCTGGATTTATATTTCCACAAAACAAAAGGAAGCTGCTCCTTTGCCTGGGTCAAGGAGGGTGGAGACACAGTGAGGGAATCGTACCAAGATGGATATGCAGTGATGGTGAACCGAGGCATAGCAAGACAGGGAGTGGGCTGTGCTGAAGGGGGGTGGACTTTGTAAGACAAAAAGTGGGCTTTACTGGAGAGTGGACCTTATGGGATAAATTGTGGGCTTTGCTGGTGATAGGGTGGGGCTTATGGGATAAAAGGCGGGATTTGCTGGTAATAGGGTGGGGTTTATGGGATAAAAGGTGGGCTTTGCTGGTGATAGGGTGGGGCTTATGGGATAAAAGGTGGGCTTTGCTGGAGATAGGATGGGGCTTGTGGGATAAAAGGTGGGCTTTGCTGGAGATAGGATGGAGCTTGTGGGATAAAAGGTGGGCTTTGCTGGAGGGAAGCAGACTTCACATGCGAGTACGTGGACCTTAGCAGGAGTTTTGCCAGAGCAGGCAGACTTTGCAGGACAGAGAGGGCAAAATTTGCGGAAGCCAAGGCAAGCTTTGCAGAAGGGTAGAGGGGCTTCGCAGGAGGGAAGACAGGGTTTGCAGTGGATGTCATAGGAGCAGTTGGGAGGAGGGGGGGCTGCTTTACAGGGTTAGGCTTCAGGAGGGTGGTACTGTATACGCACCGAGGGACTGGAAGGAGCGGATGGGGCTGGTGTCACGGCTGCTCTCACGGCTGGTGTCCCGACTGCAGCCTTGACTCATGCTGGGTCGAGGGATACGACTGCCTCGCGCTAAGGAGTGGGGGTGGGGGTCAGGAAAGAGGGGGTGGGATAGGAGGGCAGGAGGCAATCACAGAGACAGAGGGAGAAAAACTCCTGTAAAAACTCTGGAAATGCTAATGCTAGCCTCTGATGCTCTAAATATATGTTGGAAAAGAAAAATGTTTTTTATTAGAATTTTTTTCTCTGATTTTGCAAGCCTGAATATACGCGGCATGATTGTTATGATGTTTCTCAACTGGTGGGTCGCAGAGTGGTTTAGAAAAATTATCATTTTTACTGTGACTAAGGTTGATGACTTTTATCTCGTCATCCTGACGCTAATCCAGTTGAGAACGACAGGTATAAAAATACATGGCACATTGCAAAGGTAATGAAGTTGGGACACTTACTTCCTCTGGCTCCACCGTTAAACACCTGGTTTGAAGGTGCTTCATATAAGACAGAATAGTAAATAAAGAGAATATTAGAAAGCCTGTCCCATGCAAAAAAAACAAAATATAAGTAATGACCACGCAAAGAAAGATTCAGACAATGGTACCCCTTTGCAGAAACACCATAACATCCCCAGTACACCAGAAGAATATCTTTCCAGATAAGCTGGGACAACCTGATATTTGGTCCTGTTAAAATACTGCAGAAGTCTAAGACTAGAAAAAAGGTCAGGCTAGTATCCCAAATATTTATGGGCCTCTCCCCCATAAAGGTAGGGGGGACTGGAGGAGGTGTTTAAGGGCCTCTCCCCCAGAGAGGTGGGTGGGGCTGGAGGAGGTGTTTAAGGGCCTCTCCCCCATAGAGGTAGGGGGGACTGGAGGAGGTGTTTAAGGGCCTCTCCCCCAGAGAGGTGGGTGGGGCTGGAGGAGGTGTTTAAGGGC